ACGCACGACGGTCGCCCAGGGCATAGCAGGCGTGGCAATTTCTCGACACCATAGAGGGTGCGCAGGGGGTGGTCCCTCACCGCAGCCGCTGGTTGGCTCGAATCTGTCCTCGATGGAGGATAGAAGGCTAGGAAGAGGGAGGAGGTTCAAGCAATACGGCGTTGGATGATACATAGGGGAACATTCGCGACGAGGGCTGAGAACGCAGAATTGCGCATATATTATAAACTTAAGCAAACACATAAGATTCAACTTAAGTATGTGGGGTTCCTCGGTAGCGTAATGTTCAGTATCGCTGGGCTCCCGTGAAGCTCCTCGTCGCCGCTGTCCGCGGGAGCTCTTGTCACAGAGCGCCGTGGGAGAGGTCCGGCCCCGATTTCTGTTGGGGAGGGTCTGAGAGGAGGGAAGGGGACGGAGGAGGAACGAAGGATCGCCGTCGCCGTTTTCTTCGTCGTTGCCCTAGTTGTGGTCCCTTGCGCTTGAGTGAGCAGCGTGCCCGTAAGCATCAGTTCGCCCAAGGAAAATTTTACGTCGCAGCACTATGCTGCGTGCGCTCCCGCACGGACGTTGGGCACGACAAACACGGAGCGCAACCCAGGGAGGGCGGGTGGGAAAAACAAACACCCACGCCACGAGGCCCACCCCGCGGTGCCAGCTGACACCCACGGGCAGGACGAGGATGCCCCAGGGAGACGACGGACAGACAGACCGACAGACAGACGACAGACCGACAGACACACAGACGGGACGGACGGACAGACAGACAAACACCCGCAGCCCACAGGACAAGGCGCGTAAGCAGACCCACCAGGGCGGGTCAAGTCCGCCACCCCCACTTGGAGGTATCCAAGCCTCGTGCGTTCTGCTGGAGCTCAAGGCCATTAGGCTAGGAGGAGTGTGGCACCGCTAGCTCCTGAAATTTTCCTGCCCTCCAAACCGCTGCGCGATTTGAGGGCTAAGAAAATTATACGTCGCAGCACTATGCTGCGTGCGCTCCCGCACGGACGTTGGGCACGACAAACACGTGCAGCTGGCTGGCGCCAACCTGAGAGAGAGAGCCTCAGGACGCCCAATGCACGCAGGTGGGGCCGGGCAGCTGCGCGAAGCGAAATGCTTTTGCAACAGCAGGAACACCCAATGCACGCAAGAGTTTTTCACTCGCCTGCCCCGGACGACTCTGAGTGCTCAACCAGAAACTCGGCCTCAGCTACCGAGCCCCGCGCTTTGGCGGAAGTATACGCAAACGCAGTAAGCCCTCGCCAACCGCCTGAGTAGAACAGTGCTGTTGGACCGTTAGCACGAAGGCACTCCGTGGCCCAACCTCTACGAAAGGCATGCGTGCCCCACGCCACCGCATCAGCGAAGCCGCAGCCTTGAGCAGCGAGCTTAAGCACAGCAAGGCTCATTGCGTATGTCATGCCTGGGAAAACGACTTCATTCCCAGCTTCAGCCCGCGGCGCTGTGCCTGTAGACGCAGAAGCCGCGGCACCACTCGCGAGCTTGGCCCGGAGCTTGTACCGGGCAACCACCCGGCATACACCACACAGTGCTTTCCCTCGGAGATCACAAATGCACCTGCGAGTGACAACGACATGTTCAGAATGGCACTTTCTATGCATGAAGGTGATGTCCACGACATTCTGCCCTTCCACAGTTACACTGAGCGACGCGGGAGCTGTGTCGGAGCCCAACTGCAAGACTTCGCCGTTGCGCAAACAGAACTGCCGCGCAACTACGAAAGACTCACCGATGTCAACGAAGCCGTTCCCGGAACACCACCGTGACAATTCTTTTGTCTGCTCTGCAGAGGCACGGATCTTCGGCCGCCGCAGCGCCCGCCCTGCCTTCTCGGCTCCCCGCACAACACGTGCTGTGTCCGCAAGGGGGCCCACAGGACAGTGCAACCAGACTAAGACAGTGCGAATGTGCGACAAATATCTTGACAAAGTAGCCGCACTCCTGAAGAGACAAACGTATGCATCCAGTATACCCTGTGTTGGTGGCCATGGCGGGACTCTGCAGAAGAGAACGATTTGGCCGTAGAGTCTGAGTGCCGAGGCATAACGTGCAGCGCTGGCCTTCCATCCGCAAAATTCCAACCACATTGCCTGCTCCGCCATCGCTGTTGGGGCAGTGCCCTCGCGTGAGATACGTGCGATTTCTTGCCGCGGTGCTCCGGGAGGACTGTGGAACGCCAGAGCATCTGCTTGTGCCATGGCATCAATAGCGTCGGCAAGGACGTGCGGCGCAGGGAGCTGGCCAGACGTCCGCGCCGCAGTGCATAGCCGCAGCGCCGCCCTCGCCACAGCTTGTTTCTCGGGCGTGGAACTTGCCTCTCGCCGCGCCAGGGCCGGAAGCAGAGCTGCCTGGCGCACCTGTGGCGACTGCGGACATTGCGCAGGCGAAGCGATTTCCTTTGCCACACTCTGACCACAGGATTTACATAAATCCAAGAAGGAGCTGACGACAGCAAGAGACACTCTCGAGAACGCGCCCCGCACCTCAACAGCTTCCTCGGGCGCGATGCCCAAGAAATCAGACGGCGCCACGGCCACTTCCTGTCGGAGATTTACCTCTACCGTGCGCACATCCACGGGGACATCCGCGATGCCCGCCGCGCGCCTGAGCAGCTGCGTCAAGACAGTCTCGGGTGTGTCTTGCGGAGCCGCTTCGGGCAGTCTCGGCCGCACTTGCCGGGCAGCATCGCCGCCGGCCAAGGCAGCCCGCTCCCGACTGCCGGCAATGAACTCAAGCATTGGGCCAAAACCGGCCACTGATGACACGGGTCCAAACGCAAACATCGCTTCAAACCCGCATCCGGCCACTCTTGGCCGCATGCAATGGCCTCAGATGATGAATTTTTCCCACAGCACTACGCGCTGGCCAAGGCAGCGCGGGCGGCCATGCCCACTCTAGCTGACGGAATCCGCGGGACTGAAAAGCCAAGACAGATTCGTCCCAAGTTTCTTGCCGAGTCGGGCCGTCGGCAATATTTAACTTGCTAGGCGCTCGGAAAGCGCGCAAAAGCACGCGCACGCTGGCTACTTCAAACCAGAACCCGGTGATCACATCATTTAAATCACTTTGCCGGCTCGCTCCGCGAACCAGCGCATGCAAGGCTGGATTGCAATCAACGAACATGATTATCTCACACACAGCGAGCCCATGCTCGATCAGACAGCGCACAGCACAAATTGCAGCAACGAGCTCCCAAAGCACTATCTGCGTCCGGCGCGCGCGCGCCCACGTCCACGCCTCCCGGGGCACCCCGGTGGCCCCCCAGGCGCGGAAAGCGGGATGCACAATCGCAAAAGCCATGTGACCATCCCCTGCGGCATCTGTATAAACGACACACCTGGGCAGAGATAGCGGCTGAAGCGATGCCCGGCGCGCGGGGGCGCTGCCGAGGAACCGGCACCACCATTGCAGTGCTGTGCGGACTCTAGAAGTGAGCGTCCCCGAGGACCTGTGGGCTTGCCAACGCAGCGCTGCCAGATATGCACGAGCCCCTTGCCGAAGACAACGCTGCCTGCCCAGCTCAGCCGCCCTGCCGGCCGCTTCGCTTCGGAAGGGCGCAGGACATTCTCGCTGAGTGCACGCGTGATAACAGCCAGCCACTTCTCTCTCTTATGCTCTCCAATGCAGAAAACGAGAGCACCTGGCACAGAGCTTACTTCCGCGCCGAGCATGGTAGCCGCAGTGACGTTGTGCACACGTTTCTTCGGCTCGAGCTCCCAGCCGGTCAGCTGGGGCATCTGCTGCGCACACGCTGCGGTGCCCGCTGGCCCGGTGAGCGCCCCATGTTCTCCCTGGGCGCGGTCCGCCGAAAATAAATCATCAACGAACCGAGGATGCGCAATGTACAATTCTCGCGCCAGGAGCGCTTGCAGAAACGAGCCCAATCTATGCCAACTGTACACAGAGCCTCGCGACCCGAATGGGCAGCATAGCAACTGTAAACCTTTGCCGCACTGAGCGGCGCTTTGCCAAGTCTCAACTGCAAAAGGCAAGTGCTGAGACAGGAGCGGGAGCGATTTGAATGCCCCCTTAAAATCCTCTTTCCTGAACAGGAACTCGCAATCTGCAGGCTGGCCACGGGCAAGCCACACAGCCAAGGACACCAAAGTATCTAGCGTATCCACTGGCATTGGCTCGCCTACAGCTGTCGCCGAATTCACAAGCGAGGCAGTGAAATCATCAATCAATCGCACTTTTGGGCGCACACTACCCCGCTCGTCTTCTTTCCACCCCTCCAGGGCAGGAAAGCGCGCGGAAATTATGGACGCTGCCGCGTTCAGCCGCGTCCACCATGCTTTCTTCTCTCTTACCTCTTGTACACAGTTTGCTTCGAACGTTTCCTCCACCATCGGGCGCGCGCCGGTCGGCCTGCGCGCCCTGTGCAAAGTAGCAACATTGTGCTCCTCACAATGGCGGAAGAGATACTCAGCAGTGAACGACAGCTGCGGGAAAGGCACTGGCGGCAAAATGCCCGAGCGCGGCAATTCCCCGATCAACGGAAAACCAAATTTCAGATGTTCAATGAGCAACTGGTCTGGCCACTCGATCGCCTCCAGCATTTCGGCCAAGAGAAGCAAATTCTTATCCAGCCCGAGCACGCACTGGCAATGCGCTGGCAATCGCGACACTGCCCGCCGCCACGCAGGGTCTGTCGCACGTTTCCTATCAGCCCAATACTGGAGCTTGCTTGCGCGATGTTCGTGCAATTCAGAATCCGTCAAAGATTCTGCCTGCTCCAACGCCTCAGCTATTATTGCTGGCATTGCAGCGGGCCCTTCAAACGCTGGCAAAGTACAGGCCCATTCAAGATGATCCCACGCACACATGGACTCAAGCAGAACTGAATCGGCCAACAGAGCGCTGACAGCCCCGCTCAAAGTGGCAAACCCACCAAGCGCATGCTGCCGCCTACTATCTTCGCTTAGAACACTTGTACCGGTACTGTTTGCGTCGTCCTCGGACGCAGACTTCTCTGGCGAAGCTCACTTCTTCTTCCCGTCGTACACCCCTGCTGATACCAGCCATCCTTCCTGGTGTTGCGACTCCTGGAACGGCCACGCCGGCTGGGAGGCTTTTTCGGCGGCGAGCGCACGGGCCGGTTATCGCCCTTGCCACTCTTGCCGCCCTTGCCGACAGCCTTACCGCCGCTGCCACGACCCTGATTCCCAGCGGCGCTCTGAGCAGAAGACCCCGCTGCAGCAGCTGATGCGAATTTCGCAACCCTGCCAGCGCCAGCCTGCGCTTTATCTTTTGCTGCCCTGGCCGTGTCGTCGTTCAGCTCGAGGAGCCAGCGAAGCACGTTGGGTTTCTCACGCTCCAGCTCCGTCGCCATCTCCTTCCGCACTTTGACGTCATAGTGGTACGCCGTTGCCACACCACCATGCCCCTCCGCCACCCGGGCGAGGATGAAGACATACGACAGGAGGTGCGTCTGAGAGCAAACCTTCATCAAGGCGAGCTTGAGGCCCCACGAGAACACATGCCCCAGGAACGTGGCGAAGCCCTGGTAGTGCACCCGCTCTTCCAAGGAGCGCGCCTTCTTCATGTCGAGCGCGGCTTTGAGCCGATCTTCCCAACTGCCGCCGCTCGGCATCAAATCGATTGCTGGCGACCTCGCCCACGCTGGCCGGTGCAATGCCATCAGATCATCTGCGTCAGCACTGCCGACGTAGATGCGGCCCTTTTCTGCGGCTATTTTCCCGGCCGCTTCCCACTTGGCCAGAAGATCCTCTGATGGCAGAGCTTCTGGTGGAAACTCTGACAGGCCTACCTCTTCGATCCTCTTGGCGTAATTGAAAGACAACCCTTTGGGTTTAGTTGTCTGCTTCTCTTTCTCGGCCTGACACTTCACGAACTCTGTGAGAGCATCCTTCAAACCACCGTCGCCCAGCTGCCCATCTTTAGAGCCTTGTGCCACCTCCATCCCCGCTGCTTTCGCGAGAGCAGCCTGGACACGCAAGGCGAACACAACCATGGCCGGCGTCATCTTGAGAGTCTTCCAACTCTCAGGGTTGCCCTCTTCATTGAATGGCGTGTCGCCAGCTTAGAAATTGGTCTTGATCACGTCGCGGACGTAGTCGTCCGCGTAATCTTCTGGTTGCGTGCTGCACGCCGCGCCGGCCAGCAGCCGCCCGACGCCCGCGTAGAAGCGCAGGTCATGCTTCCCACGAGCCTGGGGCTCCACGTCCAAGACCGTTTCCATCCACTGGACGCGGACATCCATCTCGGTCTTGTTGAACGCGCTGGCCGGCAGGCCAGCGAGGTCCGCGCGGATCTCGTCAGGGGTGAACTGGCCGGCCATGGTGGACCACAGGCGAGCACAGCTGAGAGTACGGATAGACAGAATGCCGAAACTGAGCGTTTGGGCACTACAAGCGTAGACTTGCGAGGTCGACGAGCCTAAATGCCAGCGGCGCGGACAGATGTCGCAGAATTGCCTTGCATTCACTTCGGGCCGTAGTTCCTCAGAAGCGCCTCGTGCTGATTGATAATGCGCGGCTTGTCGGCACGCAGCTTTGCAAACGACCGCTGATGAGAGGGGCCACTAAAGGCAGGCGCACGTTACTTTGCAGGCCCACGAGCGTCCCCACTTGCGTCCCGCAACCAGCTTTCCGAACGCGCCCAGCTGTCACCAACAGCACGCCAGCGGCGTGAGCCCCACCCAGCACGAAGGAGGGGAAGTGAGAGAGTCCTCCGTTCCGCTCCGCCTCCAACGGCACCAACACTCACAGGCCACGCTGCTGCGCATCCCGGCGACCCCCCTCTGACGTACACCCACCCCGCGGTGCCGGCTGACACCCGCGGGCAGGACGAGGATGCCCCAGGGAGACGACGGACAGACAGACCGACAGACAGACGACAGACCGACAGACACACAGACGGGACGGACGGACAAACAGACAAACACCCGCAGCCCACAGGACAAGGCGCGTAAGCAGACCCACCAGGGCGGGTCAAGTCCGCCACCCCCACTTGGAGGTATCCAAGCCTCGTGCGTTCTGCTGGGAGCTCAAGGCCATTAGGCTAGGAGGAGTGTGGCACCGCTAGCTCCTGACATTTTCCTGCCCTCCAAACCGCTGCGCGATTTGAGGGCTAAGGATTGATAACTTGGCGGCGGGTTCTGGTCCGCCGCCGTCGTCGGTGTCTGCGTGGTCGTCGTCGTGGTCTCCTTTTTCGTCTCCTGTCCGTCTCCGTCTTCGTTTTCCTCTCCGTCTTCGTCTCCGTCCCCGTCTTCTTGCTCGTTTTTGTCTCCGTCGTTTTGCGTCGTCGTTGTCGTCGTCGTCGCCGTCGTCGGCTCCGAGCGTTGTCGCTGCGGTCTTCGTCGTCTCAGTGGCCGCCGCTGCTGTCGTCGCAGCCCGCCAATGGCCGTAAAGAAATATGCATAGGATAGCGACGAGGCAGCCTTAACCAGCGGCTGCTTTTGGATGCGGCCGTGCCATGTACCTGAAGCGGTGACGGCTGCTGAAATGCCCCACGCGTTAAACTGACATGGCGCAGATGCCATACAGGCTCTTCCGCCGTCGGCCGCCGCCCGCCGCCCTCCCGAGGGACGCCGGCGGCGTGAAGGCCCATCTGGGCCGGGCGCAGCTGCTGCTGCGCGCCTGCGGCGACGCGGCGTCCGAGGCGGGCCTGCGCGGGCGCTGGGACGCGGCGCGGGTCAAGGACCTCGTCCTCCTCCTCCTCCTCCTCCTCCTCCTCCTCCTCCTCCTCCTCCTCCTCCTCCTCCTCCTCCTCCTGGGGCTCGTCCTCGTCCGCCGATCCGCCGCCCTCGTCGGCGTCTGCGTCTCCATCGTCGCCATCGCCGCCGCCGTCGTCGCCGCCGCCGCCGCCGCCGCCGTCGCCGTCGCCGCCGACATTGCGCGTTCGTCGCCTCGCCCGCCCTCGCCCCCCAGGCTGCCCGCCAGTGCCCATGCGGGTGGGGGAGGGGGGTCATTTGGGTCCAGCGACCGCCAAGGCTCGCCGCCGGGCCCGCCTCTGTCAACGGTGAGAATGGGGCATGGCGGAAAGGTGGCGGCGCGCACAGAAGGAGGAGGAGGAGGAGGACGAGGAGGAGGAGGAGACGAAGGACAAGGAGGAGGAGGAGGAGGGAAGGAGGAGGAGGAGGATGGAGAGGAGGAGGGGAGGGAGGAGGAGGAGGAGGAGGAGGAGGAGGACGAGGAGGAGAGGAGGAGGGGTGACTTGGAGGAGAAGGAGAGGAGGAGTAGGACGAGAGGATAGAAAATAGGAGAATGGAAGAAGAGGAGGAGGAGAAACAGGAGAAAGAGGAGAAAGGGGAGAAAGAGGAGGAGGAGGAGGGGTAATTTTGGAGAAGAAGGGGATGATGATGATGATGATGATGATGATGATGATGATGATGATGATGATGATGATGATGAGGAGGAGGAGGAGGAGGAGGAGGAGGAGGAGGAGGAGGAGGAGGAGGAGGAGGAGGAGGAGGAAGAGGGCAGGTGGAGCAGGAGGAGGAGGAGGAAGAGAAGTGTGGCGCGAGGGCCTTCCAAGAAGGAGGGGGGTCCTTACAGGGAAGAGGGGTCTTCTCCGAAGCCCTCCCGGCTTCTGAGAGCTCTTCTCTGACATTTCCACGAGAATCTTTGTAAGACGCCCCCCTGCGCGTCAGAGAACCACTCCTCCCGCGCCGCCTCATTCACATGGAAGACGCGATCCTCGGGCCTCGATTCTCGATGCAGTCAGGACATTGAAGCATTGATGGTTGGTGATTATAACAGTCCCCCTCCCCCAGGTGTCGCCTCCGTGTTGGGCATAAGAACAAGATATGCGGGGGAAGCTGTGTTTGTTGAATCGTCCTCGTTTTTATGTTGGGCGTCGCGTTGAAAGTGATTTCGTAGTCGTCCCCTCCCCCCATTCGCGATTCCATCGATTTCCGGAGGGCGTTCAATTCCGGTTGGCCCGATGGCCAACCCGAATTATCCGCCCTCCATGGGCCGAGTTCCTTCGCCATCCATGATGAGGGCCCTGGGTCCAGCGAAAGTATTTGTGCCATCGTCACCCCTGAAGTAATGCGAAGGCCTTACGACCGGTGCCTTACCCTGACATTTCGAACAGCGTCCGGCCGTGCCGACGAGGACCTCCGGAAAAGTCAAATCTTTCTATTGGGTGACACCGACTTCGACGCTGACGACGCCGACGACGACGCCGACGACGCCGACGACGACGCCGACGACGACGACGACGACGACGACGACGACGACGACGACGACGACGACGACGACGACGGTCTGTGGCGGACTGTGACGGCCTCGCGGGTCCACCGCGGCGGGCGGCGCGCGCGGGCTCTGCGCACGCGTCGCCCAGTCCACCTGGGCAGCCCCCGCCCCAAGACGGTACCCGCGCCCCTGCTTCACCTGGGGGCCGCCCCCTGGGCGGCCCCATCCCGACAGGCACCTGCGCCCCTGGCCGCCCCCTCACCACGCCTCCTGCTTCCCCTCCCCGCGGCCCCCCCTGCCGCCCGCCAGTCTCGCCATCTGCGCGCGGCCTGCCCCTGCAGCGCGCGCCGCCCACAGCCGCGGGCCCGCGAGCTCCCCGCGGCAACTCCTTGCATTCCTGCGCGGAGTACGGGTCACCCTCGGGCGCCCGCCGGCGCTCCAGCGACTCGGCGCCGCCGACGGGCGGCCTCGGCGTCGGCGGCGGCGTCGTCTGGCGGGCCGTGCGGGTCGGCGGCGCAGCCCCCCCGCCTCCCTCCCGCTGGCCAGCGGCGCCTCGGCCTCAGCCCCTCTGCCCCGGCTCTTCTCCGCGAGCACCTCCTCTGCGCCCTCCTCGTCGGAGCTCGTCGGCGTCCTCCGAGCCGCCCTGCACGCCGTCGCGCGCGCAGAGCCTGGCCAGCATCACCGCGCGGCCGTTGCCGTGCTCCTTGCCCTCGGCGTCTCTGTCGCTGCCCACCCTCCGGAACGCCTCCTCGGCGCCCCTCTCGCCTGTTCGCCGCCCTGGGCGCCGCCGTGCCTCGCGCGCAGCATGTCGCGGAGGGCCGCCCCCCTCCGCGTGGGGCGGCGCCCGCAGCGTGCGGGGCCGCCCCAGGCCCTGAGCAGGGCCAGGGCTGCGGGCAATACTTATATCCATATCCAGAGCGTCGTGCACTTGTTGGGAAGGGGCGCCGCAAGGCCGAGGCACACTGGATATATAGATACACATGTGACCTTCCGGGGCGAGATCTTTGTCGATGTCCAGTGCGCCTCCGGTGTCTGGGGAAAGAGAGCCCCAAGCTCCAAGACGCACTGGATGTGGATATAACTGCTGCCCGCAAGGGCGCCGCGTGCCTGCGCCCTCCCTGCCCGGGCCCGCCTCTCGGCCGCCGTGCGCCGCGGGCGCCTCGGCCGCCCCCCGCCCCCCGAGCCCCACGGGGGCGCCTCCATCCCGCGGCGGCCGCAGGGCCGGGAGAGGGCGAGTTAGGGGCGGAGGCAGAGGCCCAGTTTAACGTGCGAAGAACGGTATACAATAAACTTTTTTTCGCTGTCGGGGGCGCCTGTCCCAGGGCGGCTGGAAAGTTTCTACCCTTACGGTGGCACCGTAGGGGTATAAATTTTCCAGCCGCCCTGGGACAGGCGCCCCCGATAGCGAAAAAGTTTATTTTATACCGTTCTTCGCTCGCTGACCAGTGGGCCTCCTGCCAGGGGCGCGCCTGGGCCGAGCTGGCGCCGCCGACGACGACGACGACGACGACGACGACGACGACGACGACGACGACGACGACGACGACGGCGGCGACGACGACGACGACGACGACGACGGCGGCGGCGACGACGACGACGTCTCCCTGGACCCAGGGGCTGGTCGCGGCTGCTGGGCCCGACGATGGTGTGAGGCGCGCCGCGGCCGCAGTGGAGGAGCTGCTGCAGGTGGGCGCTGGGGCGGGGGCGGGATCGAGGTGGGGGGTGAGGGCCCAGTCCTCGCATGGGTCCGTGTTCGGTAGCATCGCGTCGTGTCAACCGGCGGCGACCCCGCCGCAGGCGTTCCACTGTGACCGCCGCCGGCGACCCAGAATCGGCCCATCGCTGAGCGAGTCGGCGTGTCTGGAGCGGCCGACCGTGCAAGGTTGAGCGATTCCCGCGGTGTCGGGAGCCAGCGCCAGGGTCGACACGACGAGAGCCTGCCGTAGCTTCAAGCCTGGTGTTCTGCCCGCGCTCCGCCTTCGGAGGCCGCCGTCGTCTCTGGAGCAGCCGGCAACAAGAGCCAGGAGGAAAACTTGTCCCCTGAGAAGCGGTCGAGGTCTCTGCGGATTTTGAGTTACTCCGACGGTAGGACCTCATATTAGAATCTTCCAGAGGAATCTTGGAGTAATCACTATCGTCGTCCGTGTAACTACGGAGGCTCTCTTTCTGTCTGGCATTTGCCGGCCCCTGCCGACGCTTACCAGCTTGATTGAGGACGGTCGCTTCGGGTTGCAAAGGACGGCCGACAAAGGAACGAGGCTCCTGCTCGAGATTTGCTCAAGATTCAGACTCCCAAGTATCTCCCACCTGTGCGGTCACATGGAATTTCCATGGCAGCCTCACATTAATACATTCAAGCGGGGGGGGGCCGTCTGGAGGGGCGTCCGCCAGATATATCTCCATGCGGTTCACTCACAGGCGAGCGCCCGAGGCATCCGCTCCAGTTGCGCAGGGCGGAGACTCCCGCTCGAGACTCCTTCGGGAGCCAGGCTCCCAGTACATCCCGACGTCAGCCTCGGATTGCCAGCCTGAGGCGGGGGCGCCAAAGGGCGGGGTCTCCCGCGCGAGACGTCCCTCTCGCGGACGAGCGAGCGCCCGAGACGTCCTCGCGGTTTGCTTACCGACGAGGCTCCTGCTCGATCGAAGCTTTCTCGGGATTCAGGCTCCCTGGTGCCACCAAACCTGTCATTGCACATGCTATCCCGATGGCCGCATCGGAGTACCGACGTAAGGGGGGACCCCATAGGGAGGGGCCCTCGTTCGAGACGTCCTCGCGATTCGCTCACACGCGAGGGAGCGCCAGAGACATCCTTCCAGTTTGCTCAGGAGCGCGGCTGCCGCTCCAGATTCCCTCGGGATGCAGGCCCCCAGGTGTCACCAGACCCATTTCTTAGTTGGCTGTCCGATGGTCGACTCGGAATGCCAGAGTGAGGCGGGGACCCCATAGGTAGGGAGCTCCCGTTCGAGAGTTCCTCGCAACTCATTCACAGACGAGTGAGCGCCCGAGACATCTTCTCAGCTTGCTCAGGAACGAGGCTCCCGCTCGATACTTCCCAGGGTTCAGGCTTTGCTTTCACAGGGTTTTCCAATGGCCGCCTCGAGTTACCGACATGAGGCGCGGACACCACAGGGAGGGGCTCCTGCTCCAGACTTCCCCGCGATTCATTTACAGACGAGTGAGCGCCCGAGGCACCTTCTCAACTTGCTCACAGAACGAGGCTTCCGCTCGAGACGTCCTCGGTATTCAGGCTCCCAGTACGCACAGGCGAGGCTCCCGCTCGAGACTTCGTTGGGATTGAGGCTCCCAGGCGCCACCAATCTTGCGTTTTGAACGCGTTTTCCGATGGCCGCCTCGGATTACCAACATGATCTGCTGGCCCCAGGGGGAGGGGGCTCCCGCTCGATTCAAGCCTCCCGCACGAGGCTTCCTTGCGTTTCAGGCTCCCAGGTGTCACCAAACTTGCGTGTGTGTGTGTGTGTGTGTGTGTGTGTGTGTGTGTGTGTGTGTGTGTGTGTGTGTGTGTGTGTGTGTGTGTGCGTTTTGAATGATTATCCGATGGGCGCCTCGGATTTCCGACTTGATCTGCGGGCCCTATGAGGAGTGGGTACCCAGACTTCCTCGCGATTCATTCACAGACGAGTGAGCGTCCAAGACTTCCTGGCGATTCAGGCTCCCAGATGTCACCAAACTTGTGTGTGTGTGTGTTTAAAACGTGTTCAGGCGGACCTGCGGGCCCCATATAGAAGGGGCTCATGCTCAAGCCGTCGTCGAATTTCATTCACGGACGAGGCTCCCGCTCGAGATTTCTTAGGGATTGAGGCTCCCAGGCGTCACCAGGCTTGTGTTTTGGCGACGTGTTCCGATGGTCGCCTCGGATCATCAGCATGATTTGCTAGCAACGTTGTTGTTGATGATGATGATGATGTTGCTGATGATGTTGATGTTGATGTTGATGTTGATGTTGATGTTGATGCTGATGCTGGTGTTGGTGCTGGTGCTGATGATGCTGATGATGCTGATGATACTGATGCTGATGCCGCTGATGATGAGGATGATGACTACGATGATGATGCTGATGATGATGATAACGACGACGACGATGATGATGATGCTGATGATGATGTTGATGATGCTGCTGATGATGATGCCGATGATGATGCTGATGATGATGATGATGATGATGATGATGGGAGGAAGAGGAGGGAGAGGAGGAAGTGGTGAGGATGGTGCTCCTGTGCGGTGTGTCCAGAGAAATCAGACGCTCACTTAGGATATGGGGGACCAAGCCACATCATCAAATGCGTGGATCGACTTCGAGGATCTAGGATCTCGGATCAAGGCTTGTGGACATTTGGCCCTTTTGGGATCTCCTCCATAAAATATCAGGGAGGAGGGACGTTTCAGGTGGAGGCCGAGGAAGGCGTTCGTAGGTGATCCAACATGTGGAGACTGGCGAGCGGGAAGTGGAAGACGTTGTCGGAGGAAGTGGGGGAGGAGGTTGATGAGGAGGTGGATATAGAGGCGGAGGTGGAGGAGGTGGAGGAGGGGCAGGATGTTGATGTGGAGGAGAAAGACGTGATGTGGGGGAGTTGGTGGAGGCAGAGAAGGAGGATATCTAGGGGGGATGACTTGGGTGACCCGACATTCCGCTTCGTGCCCGGGCCTCGGTGGCCAGGCTGCACCAGCACTCCGCGCTGGTGTTCTAAGCTGCAGCTAGGGCAAGGGCATCTTGCCTCGCAGGCGATGCTTCTACCCCCCCCCCCGACTTTTCGACGAAAAGCGAAGCGGCTAAGGAAAGGAGGGGGACCCTGGCATACACCCCAGGGGGCTATTCGGACGCACCCCTTATCGAGGAGGGACGACCCCCCTCGTATATCCCAGGGCTGGGCCCCGAATCTCTGGTCATCCGCAAGCCCCACGAGGCCTGGGAGGGGGGTCGACATACACCTTAGGCGATGCTTAAGAAAACTTAAATGTTCGGCCAGAGTCTCGATTATTCTTAATGTTTCAGTGTAAATCCCAAGATTTGAATAGAACTGTTAGGTTTTTATTCAAGTTCTGAGACTATGAATTTCTTAACCCATGATTTCTTAAGCATTTCGCAGGGTGTACCCCTCGTCGTGTGGAGACGCGGAGGGCAGGCAGGCCGAGTCGTGGCTCGGCCCTCTCCCGCCGCCAGGGCAGGGCCGCGGAGGGCGCTCCGGGGGGGGGGGGGCGCAGGGCGCTAAGGGGGCCGCCCCGCCGCGAGCCTGGGCCCTCTTCGAGGAGGAGGAGGAGGAGGAGGAGGAGGAGGAGGAGGGAGGAGGAGGAGGAGGAGGAGGAGGCTCCTCTTCCTCCCCCCCCTGCCCGTGCATCCTCCAAGGCCGTCGTCGCCACCAGACGCGCTGACAAGCTCGAGAGGCTGGCTGCAGAGGAGCCGGCGGCAGGGCCGAAGCCGATCCCTCGGGCCATCGAGAGCGGGGACGCCATGGGTGCCCCCACGGGAGCCGCTTCGGGGCTCGAGCCCCCCACCCCGCCGTGGTCTGCGGCCGCCCGCTCGGCTGCATGCGCCCGCGGCGGGCATGGGCGCGCCCCGCTCGGCGGCGGCCCTCGCCGCCGCCGAGGCGGACGCGGCCGGCCCCGTGGCAGCGGGCGGGGCGCGCGCGGCGCCGGGTCGGCTCGCGAGGCTGCGGGCCAGGCTGGCGGGGTGGCTCGGGCGCGCGGGGGGCGGAGACAGGGGGGCACGAAGCGTGGCACAAACAGAGCCACTCGGAGGCCCGCGCGGTGTTGTCTTGGATGGGCGCTGGAGCCCCCCGGCGGCGCCTCTGGCGCCGCCCTTGGCGCGCTCCGCGCGCCAGAGGGGGGGGGGTCCAGCGCTGTCCAGAGCAATACAGTCGGGGCGCTGAAGAAGGAACCCTTTTCGTTTGGGGATGGGCTCAGTGTTCCTTAGCTGTTTTGCAGTGTGTGTGTGTGTGTGAGAGAGAGAGAGAGAGAGAAAGAAAGAGAGAGAGAGCGCCTTCGGTGTTCGACGGGGAATCGAAGTTTTTAACAAGGTGGAGAAACGGGGCCCCGTTCCTTCTTTAAGGGCTCCTTAGGTCAACGCCCCGACTGTAGCTTGCTCCCCGAGGAGCGGCCGGCCCGCCGCGGCCGTGGCTGCGCGTGGCCTCGCCGTGCCACGGCTCCGCGGCGCGGCTGGCGGCGCCCGCGGCCTCCGAGGAGGCCTTCGCGGGGCGCGCGGGCGGCGCGGCGGCGGGGCCGCCCGCGTGCTGGCGCTCACCACCCACCAAACCACCCCAACCCAACCCGAAGGCTCAGATTTACCCTCGACTTCCAGTGGGGGGGGGGTCGGGAACATCGAGAAAACACATATGGAACCCTATACCCCCCCCACCCGAAATTCGGGCCAAATTCGGGTCTTCGGGTTGGCGTTGGGGTGGTTTGGTAGGGAGTCAGGCGCGGCTTCTGCGCGTGCTGCAAGCGCCCGCTGCACCTGTCGCTCGCGGAGGCGCCGGCGCCGAAGCGGGCGCGCAGCGGCGACAGGCGCGCGGCGCGGGGGAAGGGGGGGGGGGGGGAAGGGGGGGGGGGGGGGGGCAAAACAGGGGGCCAGGATCGGGATACATCGCTCTGGAGCGTTCCGGAGCGCTCACAGAGCGTTCCGCAACGCTCTGAGAGCGGCCGCGGCGCCCGCTACATCCTCCCAACCCGCCGATTCTCAGAGATTTCGAGTCATCCCGATCCGATGTTGTCCCGATCTTCGCGTCGTTTTAGGGGGGCGGGCAGAGCAGAGGTCGCCCTAGGACGGCCTCCAGGTCCCCATGGCGAGGCCCAAGACGGCCCGGGAAGGGTAGGCCCAAATTTACACATCTTACGAGCCCGGGGAGCCCCAGGATGGCTCCTCAGACCACCAGGAGGTCCCCAACAAGACCCCACGAGGCCGTCAGGAGACAGGAGAGCGGGGCGCAGCGGGCCTGCTTGGTGGCTCTTTGCCAGTCCAGGCCATCCCGAGCGGGGCCAGAGCAGATTTGTGCGAAGGATCCTGTGCTGGCGCGAGTCTATCGGCGATTCGGGGCGATCGGGAGCCGGGGGTTCTCCATCCCTACGCCATTGTGGTAGGTTTCTCCAGCCAGTCTGGGGATGAGGGGTGCACGATGTCCGAGAGATGGTGTCAGACATCAGACCGAGGCACGACCGGCGGGCCGGAGTGTAGGTCGACCTTGCGAAGCCCAGGGCGCTTTCGCGTCTTGCCTATCGCGTCCATAACCTCGAAGGAGACTTGTCGACTCGGATGTCCTCTGTCATCAATCTCGCCGGAGAGTGTCCTGGGGCAAATCGAAGACGCTGGGTAGGTGCGCCCTCAGCTCCAGCCGTCACTTTTTGGAGAATTATCCGTTGCCGCAGACCTTCCATCTCATCCTCGAGAAGTCGCCGCGATGGTCGCGCTTCTCGCTCTTGGCCAGTAGGCTGCCTTCTCCTGGGAGAGGTGCGCGCGGGGAGCGCGAGGTCCTTGGTTCTCCTCGCTGACGCGGAGTCCGAGTCTAAGAGGCGTGAGATCCTGAGGACTGCTCCCCGCAGCGGCAACGGTGACGTCGACGGCGGCGGCAGCGCCATCGCTGTCGCCGTCGCCGACCGCCCAAGGCCAACCGCAGCCGCCGTCATCGTCAGCGTCGTCATCGTCGCACGAGTCGTCAGTCTTCCGCCAGCCATCATCATCGTCGTCGTCGTCCTTCGCCGTCGTTCGAGGAGGCGCCCGGCGGGAGCTCTGTAGGCCTCAGCCCTGACGCGCCGCTCCTTTCCCAGAGCCCTCAAGGTACGCGTACGTGGTGGCGCTGTGGGGCCCGAGCCCCGAGTACCCCATCTTCCTCCATTCCTTCGCCCTGTTCCCCGTCTCTCGTGGGCGAAAACTACTCCCCTCCTCCCCCTCATCCTCCTCCTTCTCCTCCTCCTCCTCCTGCTCCCACTCCTACTCCTACTCCTGCTCCTAATTACTCCTACTCCTCCTTCTCCTCCTCCTCCTCCTCCTCCTCCTCCTCCTCCTCCTCATCATCATCATCATCATCATCATCATCATCCCTCTCCTCCCTCCTCCTCGTCGTCCCACTCCTCCTCCGTTTCTCGTGGGCGGAAACATCTCCGTATCCCCGGCCTCGCGGGCCGGGCCTCCTGGCCGCGACCCCGGGCATTTACGGCGCGTTTCTGTTCGCGGAGACCCCGACCGGAGCGTACCCGTGCGACCGCGTGGCCGCGGGATCGCGCCCCAGAGTCCAGACCGCGAGGGCGCGGATACGGATATGGTCGCCGATCGTGAGTCTCGGCCGTCCTCGTCGCTCCTCGCTCTGGTCCCCATGCTCTGCCCTTTCAATCTCCGCTTCCTTTCGTTTTCCCGCCGCGCCTCCATTCTTTTTCCTTATTTTGGGCGGGCCGGGCGTTTCGCTCCAGATTTCCCACCACCTACGATCCTGAAGCTTAAACAAGGACCACAGTTTCAGAGATGCAGTGCGGGTGGTTTTCAGCATGTGGCTCACGCTTCAGCCCCGCGCGTATTCGTTTCCAACATTTGCCAGAGTTTCACGGCTTGAGAGCGGATCGTTCTCAGAATGTGGCTCCCGCGTTAGCGCCGCACGCATTATGTTCAAACATTGCAAGAGTTTCAAGGATTTAAGGCGGGCCGAATTCAAAATGCGGTTCTCGCTTCAGCGCCGCGCATACTCGTTTTCAAAATGTGCAAGAGTTTCACGGAATAATGGCGTTTTTTGTCAAAATGTGGTTCTCGCGTTAGGGCCGCGCACATTCTTGTAAGACGATTGTAAGAGTTTCGCGGATTCCCATGATAGACGTACCAGACATGATGTTTTGGAGGGCGCAAGTGTTACGATGATTAGCCGTGTTGAAATTCCAGGAATGGTTTTTTGGTACGATTCAGGATCGTCAAGGCGCAGCAGCCAAGTTTATCCGTGGCTTTGGAATACCGAGGAGAATGTTTTGGCATGCTTCAGGGTCTCCAAACGCTTGTCCTCCAACGAGGCAGGTCCCTCTGTGGAAATGAACCATTTGAGGGGCATCTGGAGAGGGAGCTTGGGGTAAGGGTTTATTCCAACATCGTTGGTGACTCTTGGGCTTACACTGGTCCTACTCCTCCTGCCCAACCCCCTTATCCCCATCTCCCACTCTTTCAGCATCTCCCTCAAGCCCCCTACGATTTCGCGAGCTCGCGCGAAGCGTCGGGGAAGGCAGGAGAAGGAGGGAAAAGGAGGGAACAGGAGGAGGAGAACGAGGATCGCGTGCAGGTCTGATCCTTTCTCCCTCTTCTTCATCCAAAACGAGAGGAGGGCAAACATAGGAGGAGGAGGAGGAGGAGGAGGAGGAGGAGGAGGAGGAGGAGGAGAGGAGGGGAGGAGGGAGGAGGAGGAGGAGGAGGAGGAGGAGGAGGCGGAGGAGGAGGAGGAGGAGGAGGAGGAGGATTGCGTCGCTATCCTTCCATTACGACGTCAAAGTTTGATCGGGGCTTGGCCACTGCTTTGCTGCACCCAAGCGGCGGCAGCAGTGACGTCGTTGGCGGCTTCGTCAGAGAGCGGGGTTTCGCGCTCTACTGTGCCAGGGTCCGGTCATTGATTTGATGCGCGTTGCACTGAAGTCGCTGCGCGAGTTCGCGCGCCAATCCGTGCAGCGACGGCCCCAGTGGCTGCGTTCGCATGCGCTCACCCTCACTTCTTTCGGCACACCTCTCGTGCGTTTCGTGGCCCCGTAGGGCATTCCACCGACGGCCCAAGTGGCTGCTTCCGCACGCGCCCACCAGACAAATGGTGGCACACCCCTCACGCGTTTCGTGACCCTATAGGGAGCTCCTCCGAATGCGGTGCATGCATCGACGGTGTTCACAACTGCATATGGTTGGATCCTTCGCCAGGCTAATTTAGTAGGATTTCGGGAGGCTTGATTTTGAAATCAAGACGAAACCCAGGTTAATTGAAGGATTGCGGCACGGGCACGCGACCACGCGCCGTGCGCACTTCGTCCCACCTGCTGCAAAGGATTCGTGGACGCTGAAGATTGGTTATGTACGACTGCGCGCGCATTGCATTCGTTTGCGATACATGGGGGGGAGCATACCGGCCTGCCTGGGATGGTATGGGTTCATATTTCGGTTGGGCGATGGGACGAACTCATTTGCAAATTGCAGCACGAAGTAGGAAGTCTTTGATTGCGAGGGGGGTGGGTCCTGTTCTTGCTCTAGAGCAGCAATCTCTTGCGGTACAGGTTCTTGTGGTGCAATCCCTGCGGTGCTATCTATGTTGCGCAATCTATTTCGGCGACGGGGCGGCGACGGCGGCAACACAGCCACCCAACCGACAGTCAGGCCCAGACGACGGGCGGCGACGTGGCGGCGACGGGGGCGGCGACGGGGGCAATCTGGCCGCCAGACCGACCAACGGGCCCAGTTCCTCCAGGGACTCTCCTCCTCCTCCTCCTCCTCCTCCTCCTCCTCCTCCTCCTCCTCCTCCTCCTCGTAAGACCCCTGAAGTGCAAGAGCACTTTTGGGGGAATCCCCTCTTGGAACTCCGCGCAGAGTTCCTCGCATCGGCGGTGGGCCCCCTGGCGGCGCCTCCGAGCGCCGCCCTCGGCGCGCTCCGCGCCTCCGGTAGAAGGGGGCCCTGCGCCGACCCGGGGCCTCCGCGCGGAGCTCCAAGGGGGGCGATGGGTGGCGCGGTTGCCGGCCTCCTCTGCCCCTTGGCAGGTACCTGCTCGGGGCGCTGGCCCTCGGCTGGTCGCTGCGCCGCCACGGCGCCGCCCACGACCTCGTGGCCCTGCACGCGGACGACCTGCCCGCCGGGGCCGTCGAGCTGCTGCGGCGCGGCGGCTGGGCGCCCCACCAGGCCGGCCGGCCCTCGGCGAGCGGCTCCCTCGGTGGCGTTTCACCGATCCGTCTCCCCAGCCCCATCCCGATCCCCACCATGCCACCACCCCAGTTGGGGAGAGGCGCCTCGAAACTCGCAGGGAGCAGCCTAGATCCCCTTCTATTAGGGGGGCAAATAAGGGGCCAGTGGGGTCCAGGCCACACCAGTGGGGGTAGGGATCGGTTAAACGGTGCTCCGCGGGCGTCGCGTTGTTGTTGCACCGCCCCGCATCCTCGCGCTGCTTTTCGCCTCCCGGGCCCTCACGGCTCGAGGCGGCCCGAGCCGCACCGCCAATGCATCGGCGATGCGACTCGATGTGGAGCCCGTTTTTTCTGCACGCCGACGGCGCCGATGCATCGCCGACGTTGCCGATGTATCGGCAACGTCGGCGCGATCATCCGACCCCATCTGCTCGGACCCCAGCTAGGATGCCTCTGGAAGTGCCGCAGTAAGGTGGGTTGGTAGGGTTCTGGCCGTGTCGTCCGACATCAAGGTTCGGCTGGGCTGGCCTTTGGCGGCTTCCGTTGGCGTATGACGGCCTTGTCGCATAGTGTTCTTTATTTTCCCGGCGGGCTCCTGCACCGCGAGAGCATCTGCTGTGGTGCTCGGGCGCCAGGGCCCTGTTCTGGCGGCTTCGCCTCGATCGAGAGCCCTGCGTCCGCGTGGCCGGCTCGCCTTGAGATTCGGAAGTCCCAGACGGTGCAGTGACCTCACCGTCAGGTCAGTCATTGGGTTCGGTACTGCACTTTATGGGCCGTTTGAATTCCGCCTTCAGCGTCGACTAGCGCCGAGTAGCAATGAATGAGATAACGCCGATGTAGCGTCGATGGGCGTCGGCGAGCGTCGACTGGCGTTGATTTCGCGTCGATCACCGTCGTGTTGCGCCGATTGCCGTCGGCCAACAAGATTGTAGGGAAGGCTCCCATGATTTGCCACCGAACGTGGGGATTCGGGGTGACCGCACGGTTTGGGGGCTGGGGTCGTTCTCCGAGGACGTCTTGGGCGAGTGCGGCCTCGAGGGTCTCGAGGCCACGCGGTGCCCGACCGTGCGGTGGGGGATCTCTCGGGATTTCGAGGTCTCCGCACGGTCTGTCGCCCGCTCCGCTTGGGCACTCCCGCGCGACCCGGGCCGTGGCCCCAGCATCTCTGGCGGCCCTCCACGGCTGGTCGGCGGCCCTCGGCGGCGTTTGGCCGCGGCCGTCGTTGCCCCCACAAGGCGGCCGGTCCCCTGCAGGACTGGGATTCGAGGGTCGGCCATTCGTGCTGGACGTGTTTCCCTGACTTGGGCCCCAGGCGTCTGGCCGAGCCCCAGGGCGGTCGAAAATTAGGCAAGGATGAAGAGTTGGCCAGGATATGTATCCCAGGAAGGGTCCATCCTTCGTTTTATTCCGGGCAAATTTGTCGGACCTCTACGGGCTTTGTCATTGGCGGTCAACGTCGTCCGAGGATTGAGGCTCGAGGTTTTGGGCCTCCAGGAGGCTTCTCGTCTCCCGGCAAGATTTCTTTCAACATCCTAGTCATCTCAGGACTTCTGGACAGGATCAGGTGTCGCCTTGAGGCACAGGGATTTCAGGCCGCCTCTGGCCGCGATGATAGCGACGGCGATGGTGACGTCGATGTCGGTGTGGACGGGCGTTGTCTGTCGACGGCGATGACCCTGATGGCGTCGATGACGATGTTGACGGCGACGTGGACGAGGATGGATTCGTTCTGATGTTTCCAGCGGCGTCCGAGTTGTTGCAGGGCTTTTTGAGGGGGGGTCGTCGTCGTCGTCGTCGTCGTCGTCGTCGTCGTCGTCGTCGTCGTCGTCGTGTTCGTAGTCGCTGTCTTACTTCCGTCCTTGAGAGGAGGGGAGGGGGGCAGAAGGTGGAGGAGAGCAAGAGCGGGTGAGAAGGGTAGGGTGACGTGGAGGAGGAACTGAGGAAGGAGTCCGCCACAAAAAATAGCTTGTCGAAGGACCCAACCATTTGCAGTTGTGAGCACCGTCGTTGTATGCACCGCATTCGGAGGAGCTCATAGGGCCACGAAACGTGTGAGGGGTGTGCCACAATTTGTCCGGTGGGCGCATGAGAAAGCAGCCACTTGGGCCGTCGGTGGAATTCCCTATGGGGCCACGAGACGCGTGAGAGGTGTGCCGAAATAAATGCGGTGGGCGCATGTGAATGCAGCCACTGGGGCCGTCGGTGAAGCTCTCCATGGGGCCGCGAAACGTGTGATGGGTGTGCCGAAATGGGTGCGGTGGGCGCATGCCAACGGAGCCACTGGCGCCTTCAGTGCAGCTCCATTAGGGCCACGGAACGCGTGAGGGGTGTGCCAGAATGTGCGTGGGTGACGCATGCGGGCGGTGGCACTGAGGCTTTCGTTGGAGCTTCGCTTGAGGCCACGAAACGTGTGAGGGGTGTGACGAAATGGGTGTGGGTAACGCATGCGGGAGGTGGCACTGGCGCTTTCGGTGGAGCTCCCAATGGCGCAACAAAACGCGTGAGGGGGGTGCTAGGATGGCCGTGGGTGACGCATGCGGGAGGTGGCGCTGGAGCCTTCTTTGGAGCCCCCTATGGGGGTCACGAGACGTGTGAGGGGTGTGCCGACGTGGGTGAGGGGTGTGCCGAAATGGGTGTGGTTGACGGACGCATGCGGGCGGTGGCACTGTGGCTTTCGGTGGAGCTCCCAATGGGGCAACGAAACGCGTGAGGGGTGTGCTGGAATCTGCATGGGTGACGCATGTGGGCGGTGGCGCTGGGGCCTTCGTTGGAGCTCCCTATGGGGCTACGGCATGTGTGAGGGGTGTGCCGAAACGGGTGTGGGTGACGCATGCGGGTGGTGGCAGTGGGACCTCCGGTGGAGCTCCCTATGGGGCCACGAAACGTGTGAGAGATGTGCCGACATGGGTGTGGGTGACGCATGCGGGCGGTGTCACTGTGTGGGTGAAACGCAGGGAGGAAGGATGAGGGGGAGGAGGAGGAGGGCGATGTGTTTTTTCAAAACTAAGACCCAACACCACAGGATGGTGGGGGAATAGCACAGACATCTTCCAATGGAGTGTTCCTGGGTATCAGAGAAGGGTGGCAGTGTATTGATCACCACTGAGGGCCAGCGACTCTAGGGACCGCCAGCCTTCCTGGAGGTAGATGCAACGTTCGTCGGAGGTGTCTGTGTATATACTTTCGTGGCATGAGGAGGAGGAGGAGGAGGAGGAGGAGGAGGAGGAGGAGGAGGAGGAGACGGAGGAGAAGGATGGGTCTCAATGGGAGCAGAGGCGGGGATGTCCTCATCCCGCTCGTCTCCTCGCCTCCTCCATCGCCAAAAGGGGTCATCATCGTACCTGCTATTCCTCTCTTCTCCATCGCGCCTCTTCCCCCCTTCCTTCAGCGCCCGCCTCCTGGGAACCGTCATTTCGCCTCTCGTTCCCTGGAACTGAGATTCAGCCCCAGGACCCGACAGCCCCGGATCCCAGAAAGATCCGAATAGGATTCCAACAAGACCCCAATCGGATTCCAACGAGAGCCCAAGAGCAACACGGACAATAAAATCCGAATCGCGTATCTATTTGGGTTGTTTTTTTCTTCTTTTTCCCACCGCCCCCCTGGGCATTATCTAAGTCATTACTTTGTCGGGATGCCCAACGATATCGTTCGGCTCTACCCTCCCCGCTCCAGAATCAGTCGAGTAACTTGAGTGCGTGATGACGACGCCTGGGGGGGATCGATAATTGCATCTCTGGATCTCCTCCCCGCCGTCCCCGTCCAAGAGCGCTCGCGTCGGCCCCAGGTGCCACACGTGGAGGCGTGCGGCGCGTTGTTTCAGGAGTGGACGCGAAACGGGCGCTTCGCGCAGGTGTTCACCAAGATCCGGGTGCTCGGGCTCGTGCAGTACCGAAAGGTCCTGCTGCTGGACGCCGACATCATCGTGAATGCCAACATCGATGACCTGTTCGATCTGCCTGCCCCTGCTGCCATGGCAAGAGGCCCGCGGCGGCCCTCGGCGGCCTTCGGCGGCCTGGCGGTCGCGGCCCTCGGCGGCCCCTGGCTCTCCTCGGCGGCCCCCCAGCGTTCCATTCCTCGGCAGCCCTCGGCGGCCTCGGCGTTCATCGGCTGCCCTCCGGTGGCCCTCGGGTGCCGGGCAAGAGAGGTCCCCGCTGCGGCTACGCACATGGTGAAAGGATCGACGGTGAGTTCTTCTTCGGCGGCTCGCAGGGCGACGAGTGGTCCTGGGGCCAGACGGGCGGCATCAACGCCGGAGTCATGCTTCTGGAGCCAGACGAGCAGACCCTGGCCCAGTGCCTGCTCGAGATCACGGACCCGCGGCACCCGGAGCACGTGCCCGGCAACGGCCCCGAGCAGGACTCGAGAGAGGAAAAAACACACAGACACAATTCATCGGCGATTCCCAGAAAACATGGGGAAAACATGGGAAGTGGGGGGGGAGGACAGAGAAACCCAGAAAAGATGGGAAGATAGGGGGAATCCTTTGATTTGTGTGTGTATTTTTCTCGTGTGTCCTCGGGCCCCTTGAAGGACTACCTCTCGCGCTTCTGGGCCGGGGAGTGGCGGCACCTGGACGTCTCGTACAACTTCCAGCTGCACCAGATGTACTTTGCGCTGAGCCCGCTCGGCCTGTCGTCCGACCGGGCCAGGTTTCTGGACGGCACGGGGCCGGCCCGGATCAAGGCCGTCCACTTCTCCGCCGACCCCAAGCCCTGGGCGCGCTACCTGGATCCCGGCTACGCCGGGCTGGCCGACGACGCGTGGCTGGACGAGGTCCGGCGCAAGTTCAAGGGCTACCGGGCATGGGTGCTGCAGGACCCGGGCGGCGTGCAGAAGGGGGAGCAGGGCCAGGAGTCGCGGGTTTCAGGAGCGAAATAGGGACGTGCACGTACATGAATCCACGCTGGTTTCGAGGGTACGCATTGCGCAAATGTTCGCATAACGCGGCCGGTCTCGCAGATCGAGGGGCCGTGCTCATGTACATCGCTGAGTGCGTGCGTCCTTTGTGGGCTCCCTAGGGTTGCCAGGCATGCCCTTGGCCCAGGGTGCCCCCCAGCTTTCCGCTCCCTCGTGGAGCCCCTGGGCCCCTACGGGCCTCGTGAGGCCGTGGGGGCCGTGGGTGCCCTCTTGGGGATCCTGGGGGCACCTTGGGCCAGGGGCAATTCCAGCAGCACCCGAGAGAGGGTGGCGTTCTGAGGCCCTCTCTGAAGCCCCAAAGAGGGGGGGGCAAGAGGCAGCCCCCAGAAGTCCGCCCCTCCCCACGCTTTTTCGTGGTCGTGGCGCCAGCGCTCGCGCGGCGCGGTCGAGTCCCAGGCGGGGTCGCTGCAAGGTGCTATCAAACACGAGTCGCGAGGGAATGGGACACAAGCGGGGGCCGCCCCCTCCCAGGACACCACGCTCCCAGCCTTTCTCGGAGCCGATCCCCGACTCCCGGGGGTCACCATGGACTGTTCTTCGAGCCGCGCCCAGCCGCGTCAGCGAGAGCCCGCCCGAAAGCCTCCGAAACTACGCTTTCGACATCCTCGACGCTGATCGAGCATTCTACCGATCAACATCTGCCATAAACCGCCTTCCCAGAACATCCCTCCAGGTCAATCGCAGCCATATGTTTCACCCCGTATCAGTACTCAACAGTCCTGGGGCCCAAAACGACGTGCATGTTGCAGGGGCCGAAATCGAGGACAGGACCTCGTTCCTTGAACCGCGGCCGTCGGCACAGGATGACCAGCTCTGAAGACGTCGACGTCTGCCTCGCCCGCGCCCCCCCCCCCCTCTCGGCAGGGAGATCCGAACGCTACCCGTGCCGATCCACGATTCGGGGAGCTCGATGGGCGGCGGGGGCAGGGCTCGGAGGTCGTCGCACCCTACACCTTAGGCGATGCTTAAGAAAACCTAAGTTTTCGGCCAGAGTCTCGATTATTCTTAACGTTTCAATGTAAATCCTAAGATTTCAATCGAAATTCTGGGTTTGTAATCAAATTCTGAGACTATGAATTTCTTAACCCATGATTTCTTAAGCATTTCGCAGGGTGTACCCCTGCCTTCAGAGTAGAAAGCGGCACCGAGAGAGCCACCCCTGGCCCATTTTCGCTGTTGTGGGGGCCTGGGAGGCCCCTCGTCCCCGCCGCCGGATGCGCCTCGAGATTGTGGACGCTTCGCGAGAATCCCCACCAGCCCATCCAGGAACGGTGCCCAGAGGGATTGCCTCGATCAGGGAAGCGGGCAGCACACAGAGGAAGCCATTATTCAGAGCGTGAATTACCTACCCCGCTTTCGCTTCCAGGCAAAACCAAGTCATACCACGCGCCTCCTCGTCAAGCGGCCTGACCAGTACAGGCCGTAGTTTGGCATCGCTTGGTATCTCTTGGAAGCGAGGGTGGTCAAAAGCGAGGTAGGTTTGTTTGCCCCCTAATTATGAGACATCTTGGGATATCTGGAGCCATCTTGGAGGTCATCTCGGGCTCTCCCAGGCGCTCCAGGGCTGGTGGGATTCCGGTCAGAGCACCCCGGGAGAGGTACAGGGGGCAGTGCATGGCATCCGCATTTTTTTTGGTTTCCCCAGGCAGGGCTCGGAATTCGTCGATCCCTACACCCGTCCCCCACCGATGCAGGAGAGTCGATGGTTGGTGGGGGTACGCCGCGTTCTTTAAGAAGCGTGAGTGTGAGCGCCGCCCCAGCCGATGACCCAAAAGCGACCCCCGTTGCTGGCAACCACCTCGTGCCGAAGGCGCCCCGGCCCCCCGTCGCGGCACGCCGAAGAGCAAGGTTTACCCCGTCGGGGGGGTACCCCCACGCTTATTCCTCGAGTAGGAGATCGGCTGCAGAGATAACTTCACCCAAAGCTGTTTTTCGTCGAGCGTATGAAACAAGAATTGATTCTGCTCCGTCGGCTTGCGGAGCATTCTGTATGCTTTTTGTTCGGTTCTGTCAAAGGCCAAACCTTCAGGGGACAAATCCACACCGTGGTCGACAAGCTTACTTCTACTCAAAGAGCCGGCCTCGGACGCCCTCGCCGCCTCGGCCCCAGTCAAACGACGCGAAGATCGGGACAAAATCGGATCGGGATAACTCGAAATCTCTGAGAATCGGCGGGTCTGGAGGACCGCTCTCAGAGCGTTCCGGAACGCTCTGAGAGCGCTCCGGAACGCTCGGGAGCGATTTATCCCGATCTGTAGCCCTGTTTTTGCCCAGGACGAGGGCGCCATGAGCCGAGAGCTCGGGCGCAGCGGCTGGGGCCTCGCGCGGGGCGCCGACGGCCAGCTGCGCCTGGCCGCGCCCGGCGCGGGCGCGGCGGAGGAGCCGGGCGCCGCCCCCGCGGCCGCCGAGGGGGGCCCGGCGGAGGGCGGGCCCGGCGGCCCGGCGGCCGGGCGGTGGCCGGCCGTGGGGGACCCGGTGCCGGGAGGGAACCTACTCCAGAGTCGTAATAAAGGGAGGGGGTCTCGTTTCGGGGGGGGTCTCTTCCAGGCTATCTTGGAGGGCCCGGGGTGGTCTGGGGACGATGTTTTGGAGGGTTCTCCCACGGGGGGGGGGGGGTCTGAAATGGACCCTCCAAGACAAGCCATTTCAGACCCCCCCCCCCGTGGGAGAACCCTCCAGAGCATCGTCCCCAGACCACCCCGGGCCATCCAGGATAGCCTGGGGAAGAGACCCTCCCGAAACGAGACCCCCTCCCTTTTATTACGAAATCTGGAGTACCCTGAGCATCCTGGACCTAGAAAGTTAGGGTAAAGATGATGATGGCCTAGCTTTTGAGTTGCCCCCAAAGTAGAGGCAATGGTTGATCGAGTTTCTATGTTTTTGGGTTGCAGCTTACGCAGGGGCGCCCGAACTTTTAAGATATCTTGAATTGCGAATCCGTAGATCTGCTCCATATATGGTCAGGCGATCGCAGACATGGATTTGAGGGGGCGTGGATCAGCGACGGGTCTCGTTTTCATGGGAAGTCGCGGATGTCCGCCGCCGGACGAGGCGGCACCGGCCTGCATCATGGGGAGGGCACTTCCCCCGATCCGTTGATTTGGCGACCGCGCGCGGAATCCATGGATCGCGAATCGACGTTGGCGCGCCCCCGAGAAAGGGACGCTTGAGAGCGAAGTTTCTTGGCATGGGCACCTTGCGTTCTTGGTTTCGAGGGACCAGGTGGTCGACCCCTCCACGCCTGCTACTGGGGTTGGTGGGTTCCGCCACCTCGTCTTCTCAGTTTCTCGCGCCCCCCACGGGGACGCCGTATACGGCCGGATTCTCACTATCACCGCGAACTCCGAAATGTGTTTCGGCACGCCGTGCATCCGTACATCCGGGCACTCCGTATACCGTATATCCGTACAGCGCATATTCGTATATCCGTAGGTGCGAGTTGTCGGGAGAATGGTTTTATCCCCCCGGACCCCCAAATTAGCGTGTAATTATCGGGGGTGCGGGGTTACTATGGCCTGTTCTTTTCCTTCGGGGCTGCGGGGGCGCGGGCATGGGTCTACCGTGTCCTTTCTGGAGCATGGTGGCCTTGTGGACGTGGGTCCCATGTCTATTGCACGGGGTCGTGTCCCACGGGGCGCGGGTCCGGCGCATTTGCCACGGGACCGTTGCTCTGGGAGCACGGACTTTGGCAAGTTGCAAGGAGGTCGTGGCCTCGGGAACGCGGACCTCGCGCGATGTGTCAGATAGCCTGGCTTTGGGGGCGCGCGTCCGAGTCACTCAGAAGGGGGTAGTCGCCCTGCCGGTGCGCGAATGCAGTCAAATTTACGCAGGGCCCCGGGCCAGACATCGCAGCGGACTCCCGAAAAGCAGCGATGGGGGGGGGGGGCGGGGGCCGCGGGGAAACGCACAGGGGAGGGGCAGGATCATATGTTGTAACCAATCAATCCCCCACATCCCGACGGCTCACTGCATGGAGGCCTCACTTGGCGGCTAACGGATGCAGACCACGCCATCGAACCACCCGAGTCGGCGTATGCGCGCGTCAATTTGGGATTCGCCGTGCCCGCAAGCTCCCGGCGCGAAATGCTTGGAATCAATGTTGGTGTGTGTGCGTGTGTGTGTGTGTGTGCGTGTGTGTGTGTGTGTGTGTGTGCGTGTGTGCGTGTGTGTGCGTGCGTGGGTGTGTGTGCGTGTGTGTGTGTGTGTGTGTGTGTGTGTGTGCGTGTGTGTGTGTGTGTGTGTGTGTGCGTGTGCGTGTGCGTGTGCGTGTGTGTGTGTGTGTGTGCGTGTGTGTGTGTGTGTGCGTGGGTGTGTGTCTGTGTGTGTGTGCGTGTGTGTGTGTGTGTCTCGGGGGGTCGGACCAGGGCCTCTTCTCAGCTCGGCCCACGTCAGCCTGACCGGAAATGGAAGTCTCGGGATTCCAGATTGCCGTGTCACCCAGACACCGGCTGCCCCGCGCATGCGTCGAATCTTAGGGGCTGACGCGGTAGAAGTGCAACCGCATACAAGTGCAATTCAATGGTGCGTTTCGGTATTTCGTTGCTCTGTCTCTTTATAGTAATGTTGCAACCATGTAAGCGTTACCATTCGACCCTCGCGCCCTCGCAACCGCTAGCGAGCGACGCGGTCGCACCATCTCCTGTGTTTTCGCGCTGGGTCATGGCTCTTGCGTGCGAGATGGGCTTGAAACAAGTGCGCGATGTGATCGACGCATTCTGTCCGAATGAACGCGCAGTCGGGGTTCGACGGGTGCCGATTTCAGTGCAAGTTCAAATCGGGGAGGTCGGTCTGAGGTTGAAGCGGGCGATTACACGGTGCGTTCTAGGTTTGCTTTGGGGCCCCCTCTTCCTCCTCCTCCTCCTCCTCCTCCTCCTCCTCCTCCTTCTCCTCCTCCTCCTCGAAAATTGCTCCCTCGGCGCTTCCAGCATGTAAATGGAGCCCCGATTTGGCGCGTGCCTCCT